GACTTTAAAAAACAGATGACTGTCAGGCTGACAGACATTACGTCATGTCGACGCACGAGGATGCGCGCGCAGATTCGATAGTTTGATTCACGTTTCCTCTCCCCTTGCTACGAAACTAAACTGGAGATTTTCCAAAATCTTTAGCAATAAAATAAAAAACTGAAGAAGTAAAGTTTACCCACGAAGCTGGCAGGTCAGTCTGCGGCTTACAGAAACAGCGTTTCTTAAATCTGGGTTACATTTAGGATTCAAAACTGGACACGATTAGATGGATGGGTTCAATGAACACACGACGGAATAATCTTTGGAGAGGGGGGGGGGGTAAAAGACTCAGACAAGGTTTCCTTTTTCTGTTTCTTCCTCCTGGCACGAAACCCAGGAGGAAGAAAGCTCATGGGGATGCTGTACTGAAAAGAGAGGAAATCAGCGACAATTAGACGTAATGAAATGGTTAGAAGAGGGGCGGACGGGGAGGGGTTGTTAGCCAGAAGAAGATGAAGTCGTAAGTCGGGAAGAGTGTAAGATGAAGAGGCAGATAACGGTGGCGGTGAAAAGGACGGCTGAGAAACTAACTGCCCTCAGACTCAGATGAGTTACCTACAGTCTGGTTCGAAAATTAGTATATGATGACGCATGCGCGTTGCCTTGTCGGACAGTCTGCTACAAAATTACCTCGTGACAGAGGGGGTTTGTATCCTGCGTTCGAGCGTTTTTGGCCGCTGAACTTTGTGAATTGGAACCTCGGAGCGAGACACTTACCAGAAGGTTGCTGGAAGGGATGGCAGCAGGCAGCGTACAGTACATTCCAAATAAAATATCACCACGGCATGTAACACAGGAATGTCGATTTCACAACGCTACACATCACTAGAAAATCAACACTGCGGAGAGTATTAGATGATTTCATCTTCTTCGCAACTCTTCGGTCCTCTTCCAATTGTTCCACTCCTCACAGACCATCGCTATCCGACATATCACTCGAATCATCACTGTTCACTCCATTATCTTCAATTATACATATTAAATATATTAAGTGACAAAGCGTGTCTAGGCGTGACGTACTGTGGCCATAAGTGTCGGAATGTCACAGAAATTTTCAAAACGTTACCTATCCTAACAAAATCCACTAAACAAACTACCTAACCTAACCTAACGTGGTCCGCAAACTGGGCACTCCCTACAAAGTCAGCGGCCATAATCGGTGGATCGAGTTCTACTGGAATCAACAGACATTTAAAATTTCGATGTTTCTCATGATAAATGTGTCGTTTGAATCGAACTGGTGCAGAAGGGGTACAATGATGGGCATTTTTGGGGATGGAAATGAACTTTAGGTTTCTATAGAAACAGGGAAATCCTCGGGAGACAGTCGACTGTCTCCTTCTCAAGACTGTGTGCTTCGCGGAGACAGCTGTTTGGTTGATGCTTGGTAAGTTAGTTCGTTTGTAAATTTGTTAGTTGGAGGCGCTAGGTGCTGGAAGGCTCGGGAGTCAAAATATTTCAACATAACTCGAATATTATAGAATGAGTTGGATAAAACATGTCTCGGCGGACCACAAGTTAAACTGCGTAAAGAAAGAATAACTTTAGTACAGTTCACACTCGGCGTTGTGACAACCGTCCATTAGGGCTGGGGCGTCCCTAGGGAGGCTACGGGCCGGATGCAACGTGATCAGCGCGTAGGTAAATGGATCATCAGAGTGAATCAGTTCGCTAATTTGTTGAGAAGTTAGTTAGTTGAACTCTTCACAATTAGGGCCATTATATCAAGGAGGTGGTGGTTGAGGCACGTAGCACACATGCGAGAAATGAGAAATCCATGCAGAATTTTAGCAGGAATATCTGGAGAGAAGAGGAAGGGGTAGATGGAAAAGACAATATTAAAAATGACGGCAGATGTAGTGTATGGAAGCATGGATTGGGTTCATGTGTCTCAAAATAGTGTCCAGTGGCGGGTTCTAGTGAGCACGGCAGTGAAACTTTGGGCTCCATAAAAGGCGGAGAACTTCTTGAATAGCTTACCGACTATTAACTTCTTAAGAGATTATGCTCCATGGGGTTAGTAAATTAGGACCTCCTTAGTTATTTGTTGGTCGGTTTGTTTGTTATTTGATTAATTAGTTTACTTCAGTTTGCGACAGTTCGAAGGAAAGCTGATTTCTGTGGTTTCATCACCGCTCGAGACAGAATGCTTGTATGTGACTGTACATTTCTGTATCGTAAGAATTTGACCACGTCTTCAGGACGGAAATATGAGAGGCCCCGGTTGTAATTGGGCTGGCAAGAAAACCGTGGGGGTTGTGGTTCACATGCTCATTGGCTCTGCGTGAAACTGCACTGCAAACACACTTCTTTATTTAATTTAAATTAGACTGAGAAGTGTCACATCTTTTGACTGGGATAATGTGCATCATGAAACACAGGAGGGAGAGAAATTGACAAGAAGGAATGCGACGAAGAAGAACAGGATGATGCAGTTGGAGAATTTCAGGAATCTTCAATTACAGACAGCAGAGACCTTGCCGAAATTTGGGACAAAAATAAAATAAACATTTTCATATTTTCTTTACTTTCGCGTAATATTTTAATTAGTGTCCCTTGCACATGAACTTAGTAAGAACCATTAACACTCCCTACAGTCGCAGCAAAATGCTAATAAGCACACATGCAAGCCTTTCCATGACGATTCCTTTTTGAGCTCATTGCCACAGCTGTGGACGTCGCAGATTTGTAAATGCTTTATTTCGTGGGCATTCTAGTCACACGGAACATTCACGGGAAATTTATAAGCACTTCTGCGAAGTGAGTTCCGTAAGTTCAGGCTAAACGCACTTTAACAAAAATGGGAATAGTGCATATATCGAAGTATATTGGCGAAACTGTGCCGTTGCGGTTTAAAATAGCCAACGTCTGTCACCCACAGAATTATAAGAGAGTGTAATTAATCAGAACTCACTTCTTACCGCCATGAGAAGTCGAATCGGCGAAGAGTGACGAAAGTCACTGTTGCGCGGAATCGGCTAAACACAGAAGTGACGGCGCATGTAAATTTCTTGTAAGAATGTTTCTGCACTGACATAACCTCTCCCTTCGCTCGAAATTAGAAAAAAGTGAAAATTTATTAAAACACGCTCTTTGTAGTAAACATGCAGCCGCGTGGAAAGTCTCCGACAATGAATCGAGCCTCGTGCACTCTCACCGCAGCAGTTCGCACGCTGTTTAATAATAATTCGATTCCGTATTATTAGTGTCCAGCATCAGCAACCAGACGGACAATAATAACATGCAGAAAATCGCAGTCAATTCTTCTTTAAAAACGGAGATTACGTCTTGATAGATAGGAATATATTATTAAAATTAATTCCAGAGTGCTAAAATGCGAAGCTAAGGACTGGATTCAAATGGTTTAGGTACTGTCAAGTACCTGTCTGTTGTGAACATTAACTGCTTCAGCCATGCAGAGCGCCTGAAGTTGGGTTAAAACGTCCAGATACGTGAAATCCTTTCAGAAGCTCTAGCCAGCCAATTTTTTTTAAGAATTATCGACTATTTTTTAACTCAAAGATTCGCTGCCTTTGCAATAGAATCCCGCGAGCGCAGGTGCTCCATGCCTATTCTCCAGCCTCACAATTTTCTTCTCAGACACACCTCAATTTAAACAGCCCGAGATGAAAAGATTTCGCAATCAGAGTATTTTTAGTTTGTTGCGAATCTGAGTTTTCACAGCATTGAAAACGAAGCTGTAAATACTTCTGAGTCGTAACGCCGTGCAGACGTTTCGGAAAAGATACTGTCACCTTCTTCAGGGCTGAATCCACGATCCTTCAAAACCCAGGAGATTAACATCGTAATTATCACCTCTCGATTCATCGCAACAAATACATTAACATTTATTTCAGTAGTATTTAATTAATACAATAAGAACTTCACGTTCAGTTTTCATTACGGCATGGGAAGGTACTCAGTTGTCATGGAAACGAGAACAGAATCCGAAACAACGGAAAGTAGGCGTGCGTACGGCCTGGGAGCGGAACATGAAGACGCCTGTCTTCTGGAATGTTGCGCCATGCTGTCTGTTAAAAACTTGCCGGGGTTTCGGAGATGATTAGTGTCTCAGTCTTCAGGGCGATTGCACTGTTAATGACGGTTGTTGGTACCTCTGAAACGCCGGTCAATTTTCAGCATATACTGAGCGACATGCCAGAAGACAGCCACCTTTGCATTACGATTTGTTGACAATTGTAAACAGGAAATATTTTCGGTCATTTTGTTTTTGGTACAGAGTTCTCCCTCTCGGTTAATTTAACAACGTTTGTTCAGCTGAATAGTGCAGTATCTGTTATGCATCGTGCAATGGAAATTTCAAACATTTTAAAAGTTGAACTGAATACAATCATGAAATCAATCACGGTATCAATTTGTGGTCTTCCGAGTTATGACGCCAGACGTTCCTGACGTTTCATGTGAGTCTATCCCCTTCATCCTCAGGGTAGAAACGATCGGCAGCTGGCCCTCAGGACCTCCCCCAAAAAAGCTAACCACTGAACCTCAACGCTCGGTCGGGCTTTGTACAGTTGCAAGTTAACAACCCACTGTAATATGAAGGCATTCCCCGCTGTCGTGGCATCCGATATCGGTGCAAAGATTCAGAGGAAAAAATTCGTCCGTAAATCTGTTAACTAGGGAAATGTTGCCCGCACATGCTGTAACCGAGACACATGAGAATATTAAGCTCCGTTTCGGTCTTGTCATCGTAGATCCGACTGAACCTGCGTGTCCTTAGGCGACCACGTCTTCGAGAGATAATTGACTCCGCTCTCGGTTTTTCTCTTTGCCCCTGTAGTGTACCGCCCGCTTAACAATAATAGTGCGCCCTTCCGCCCGACTATGACACCGACGCGAACATTTGCATTGCAAATTGTTCAGTCCTCTTGTGATTTAACGCTTCCTGCAAACTCCGTTCCTTACTTGTCTTCTCCTGCCTTTTGTTGTTACCCTTCGTTCAACTTCTGAAGCTGTTAAATATCAAAACTTAAAATAAGTCGCCTGCACTTTAAATTGCGTTCATACTCTGCGGCACTGGACGTTCCGGTGCTGGAACCTCTTCATAACATTCGTCCATAAAACGGCATTCGGGGCACAGCGCCCCAGAACAGGCAAACTCGACAAACTGAACTTTATTAATTAAAATTAACAAAGTTGTTGTTAGAATTTGAGGTTCTCATGGCGGCAATTACGAAGATCTCCCTGAAGATAGAGGCAAAAAGGACCTCTTAGACGTTGGTAAGTTCCCATAAAACTACACGGTCCTAGAACTCAGAACTTCCCACCTTTTAAATAAATCTGTTTACTCGAAGATGCTTCTTTTCATCAACTGTGCTCCTGCGGCCATTGCAAATACCACAAGATTTTGATGAGAGTTTCTTCTGTAAGTAGCTTGAGGATGCTTCGCATCTGCGCCAATTATGAAGCGGATTCCAGCCCAGCATTTGGCGAAACAGACAGAATAAAACCACGAAGCATCTCAGTCATGATACTCGTTGTTACCGCTGAGGTAACCCGGTCGACGTTGCTATTTTTACTTCGGAACTGTAGTTTGTATTGTGGTCACACGCATGAATTCGCTTCCATCCCTGTGCTGCCAGATCCCTGTCCCTTGAGACGCAACCAGTAATTCACCGTTAAGTCTCTGTTCCCCTGACGCCCTTATCGTGAGCAGCCCGCAAGGCAGCCCGTGCTCGTAACGAAAATTATATGCGTCGATGGAAGCATCACAAACAATACTTGTCTAACAGTGGGCCGCGGACCACCTGATCTCAGTTACGATCTCTGATTTCCTAAAAACTGTCTGTTTGGTCCGGACAAAATTGCAACTGTAATCTTGGCAGCGGCTCACAAATCGGTTCCAATTCCGCTTACGGCACCACGTATGTACGTAATTTGCTGTGTTGTTCCTGTGATGGTCTGATCCCCCATCGAAGGAGTCGTGAAGCTTGAGTGATTAAGGATTTTGAAATGTGCTTATGAGACCTGAGGCTGTAGCTACAGTGAAGACGTCGAAATTGTCCTTATGGAAAACAGCAACGCATGGAATTTTACGTTTCGAGGGAACATACTGCCTCCATTTTCATGGCTCACCATGGACACAATTACTACTGCAACATACGACGCAAAGAGCGTGATCCTCTACTCTTTATGTGGGTCTGTGTAAATCGTTACTGTTACGTAACCTAACCTGACGTCAGCTAATGGCAGCAGCGCCTCGTGATGGCGGTCGAGTTCTGCTTTGCTTAAAGAAAAGTACTTTCGTGCGCTTTCCATCGCCTGACGGAAAGGGTGGGTAATTTTTAATTACGCTGTCGTGATTTGCACCTTGAGTCGCTCGAGGAGACTGAGGACAACCACGAAAAAATTTCACCAATGACAGAAACGTACCCAAGATTCGAGAGCCAAGTCATGGGACCACTTTATTCCTCCTTCATCCTGTCAAAGGCTTCTTCCTACTTTTTTTCACATTCTGTACATAAAATTTACTTCTCGTAACTAGCAGTCTGAAGCCGAAGCTCGTCTAAATAACATTTTAAGAATTCAGCTCGTACCGCGAAGAAAACACTACACTTCACCATCAAATACATCAACTGGTTAACGCTGTTTATGGAAATAAACGCTTTTTACACTGAGAATCATACGAAACTCATAAATACAAAAAAGTTACTGATTCCTAAAGCAGGTGGGATATATAGTTACCACTCGGTATTATGCAATTAATTTCTAATCGGAAGACATTCCAGATGGCGTGACGCCATGAAGCTGAAGCATGAGCGTGTGGGATTCGCTACGAAGGAAACATTTTTGTTAGGCTCCTAACACACTTACTCCGCAGACTTTTCGACTCACTTGCAGCAACGTTCAACGTGTTCTCGTTTATTTTCGTCTGCAAAACACAAACAACATGGCGCTCATCCCGATATTCCAAATCCCCTCTTTGTTTCACATTTTCCGCCAATTTTTCCCTCTACAATGTTTGTAGAGGTTTTGTTTGACTTGCGCACAGTAATAGGCCGCTCTTCTCTTGTTTCACAGATGAACACAATTGACTGCGGTGAAGCAAACCCCCCCCTCCCCCTTTCATGGCTCACCATGGACACAATTACTACTGCAACATACGACGCAAAGAGCGTGATCCTCTACTCTTTATGTGGGTCTGTGTAAATCGTTACTGTTACGTAACCTAACCTGACGTCAGCTAATGGCAGCAGCGCCTCGTGATGGCGGTCGAGTTCTGCTTTGCTTAAAGAAAAGTACTTTCGTGCGCTTTCCATCGCCTGACGGAAAGGGTGGGTAATTTTTAATTACGCTGTCGTGATTTGCACCTTGAGTCGCTCGAGGAGACTGAGGACAACCACGAAAAAATTTCACCAATGACAGAAACGTACCCAAGATTCGAGAGCCAAGTCATGGGACCACTTTATTCCTCCTTCATCCTGTCAAAGGCTTCTTCCTACTTTTTTTCACATTCTGTACATAAAATTTACTTCTCGTAACTAGCAGTCTGAAGCCGAAGCTCGTCTAAATAACATTTTAAGAATTCAGCTCGTACCGCGAAGAAAACACTACACTTCACCATCAAATACATCAACTGGTTAACGCTGTTTATGGAAATAAACGCTTTTTACACTGAGAATCATACGAAACTCATAAATACAAAAAAGTTACTGATTCCTAAAGCAGGTGGGATATATAGTTACCACTCGGTATTATGCAATTAATTTCTAATCGGAAGACATTCCAGATGGCGTGACGCCATGAAGCTGAAGCATGAGCGTGTGGGATTCGCTACGAAGGAAACATTTTTGTTAGGCTCCTAACACACTTACTCCGCAGACTTTTCGACTCACTTGCAGCAACGTTCAACGTGTTCTCGTTTATTTTCGTCTGCAAAACACAAACAACATGGCGCTCATCCCGATATTCCAAATCCCCTCTTTGTTTCACATTTTCCGCCAATTTTTCCCTCTACAATGTTTGTAGAGGTTTTGTTTGACTTGCGCACAGTAATAGGCCGCTCTTCTCTTGTTTCACAGATGAACACAATTGACTGCGGTGAAGCAAACCCCCCCCTCCCCCACTACAACCCACCCCTGGGCTCAGTCGAGCTAGATAAACATTTGAAAAAACTTCTTGACAATGGCGGAGTTTGATGTGCGTCTGTTATTCGACATTTCAATGACGTATTCAAATGTCATGACGCCGAGATATTTCTTTCCGTGGGTTTCATAGCCGTTGTATCAGCTGCTGTGCCTATTAATAGTTGACAATCATACGATGTGAGAATTCTGTCTCGTCAGCCCTGAAGACGGATGAAGTATGCTTCTCCGAAACATCGACATCTACCGACGAGTCCTCACGGCGTCAGAGCCCAGAAGAGCAACGTCATAAGGGAGAGGAATTGGTCGTCGACTACTAACACGAGGGGTAGAACGCCTGTGCAGTGGGATTCGAGAATGAGAGTCAGATGCGTTAGGGCACATATTCTCCTCAGCAGACTATAGGGCAAGGAACATCGTTCTTTTGTATGATTTTATTCTTACGTCCTTGGATAGGAGATTGAGGGACGACAAGTCTCCGAGCTGAATGTTTTGGTTGGCATTCCTCGAATCCGAATTCGCATGCTTCTTAAATACTTCCATACCAAATGTAATATTTTATAAGCGTGACTCAGTCGTCAGATCCTCTTTTCCCTAACAGGACGCATTGGCACGTCTCACATTCAGAGAAAATCTACCGCCTTCTGACGTCACACGATGAGATTTTTCGAGGTACTTACTTCGTTTTCAACTGTTAAACTGCAGTAAGTTAAACGAAGTGTTGACAGTAATTCTGGAAGTAAATCGAACATTTCTTATTCTCTGACGTTTGTGTAGTCTAAGAAGCTCAGTAAAGTCACTTACCCAAAGCAATCTTCTTCTTCCCACGAATCATTAGTAACTGACGGGAAACAAGCACCACAGCCTTCTGAACAACGTCCTGCCTGATGGCGACAGCGCGGCGTGCCCTTTGATAATCTCAGGCAGCTACTCTACAGCGTCATACTTTCTCTGTTAGTTTTGATTCCAAAAGCTGGAAATGCCCGATGTTAAAAAGTTATCACCGTTTATTTTTATTTAAAAACTTCTCGTACGAAAGTTTTATCAGCAGTCATACGCCACTTTTACCCCTGAATCACTCCCACACTTTTCACGATGTTATAAAATAACTAACATTTTTATTGCGTAAACAGATTAAGTATTAACATCCAACTACGTAATGTTTATTTACGACGTTATATCTTTTAATAACAAGAGGTAAAATAAAACATATCTAAGTAAAAATTAACTGAAAATGTAACACGAAATAATTTTAAATGTTTAATCCTCACTAAAATTCTGTGGTGTAGATATTTTTAAGCGTTCGTAATTTGACCATAATCCATTATCAGTAATTTAACAGACAGACTCAGACATACATTTTCAGTATATGAACTTTTTATGGGACTTCCTAGCAATGTGGTTTCTGATCTGCTTACCAGAGGCACACGCATCTTTTCTTTCGTGGCAAAGTCGGCAAATGGATGTGTTTCACGGCTCACACAAAAATTTTGCATCAAATGCTACGTTCTCGAAGTGTCGTGTGAGTTACTAAGCCCATCCATGGGTCGGAGACGACGGACTTAACCCAATCCGCCCTCGACACACACGTCAGTACATTCAAACTAAAGAAATATATTTTTCATTTTCAAACACCAGCACCACGAGAAGTCGGCTTTTCGCTACGAACACGAAATAACAGACACTTCGGGAAAGCCAGGGTCTTTACGAAGCAAACACAATTTCAGAAAACAAATCAATGCACTAAGTCCCGAATGTTTCACGTGGGAATCGAGAAACGGACCCCGAAAAACAGTGGCACTACGTCGTTCCGTCGCGCTCTCCAGCAGACTGGCGTCGTCCCCTCAGGCGTCGCGCACAGCGGCGTCGTTGCTATGGGAACGCGAAGCAACTCACACTACTATAAATATAAATTCTATTTACACGCATGCGCAATGTCAGCACCTTCCTACACTTCCCTGGTTAATTTAGAAGTCCCTGGAATTTAATTTAGTAGACGATTAAGCTTCAAAGAGCCTTCCGCAAAAATAATTCTAAGTTGATGTAAAGATCTTAAAACCTTGCACACGGTGCGATGTTGAATATTTCTCTAAAATATAAAATCATGCTCACAAAGAAAGCTGTTTATACTTTGTCCCAAACGCCTTTCGACGAAAACATATTAATATTAATTGTAGTCGAAAACCCACACATCAAATGTCCAAGAGAAGTAATAATAATTTAATAAGTTAATTGGAGCAGGAAAGAGAGCGTATTTCGTAAAAATTAAGGGAGAATTCGTCTCCCTGGTGTCACAGGGATGACGCCCCGCTCTCAGTGGGTCGGTGTCTTACCACGCTCCAGACCCGACGCTTCAATGGAATGAGGTCGTCGTCATTTGTTTTCTTTATTTTATTAAAATGGGTTACCAACCTACATAAACCAAGTTTACCACAACTTCAAGCAAGTTTCTCTTATTTGTTTCCAGTCCGTCAGCGCAGTGCATTTACTGCGGAAGACATGACGAACAGCACGAGAATTGCATTACAGAGAGCCGGAGTTTCATTCATTACGGAAAGCATTGCGGAAATACACAATAGGTGGGAGAATAAAATTACGATCTGTGGCTCAGATTTGGGTAATTTTGTATTTATTTGTGGCTTGTTTAACGACGATTTCGGTATCTCAGGAATGTATAACGGCAAATAAATTGGAAACGACGTGGAAGTGGTAGTGACCAATTTTGGGACAGCGTTGCCGACGTCTCTGTGCGTCTGTTCGCCTGGAAAGAACACGGTCTTTCGCCTTCCGAAGATTTGACACAGAAATTCAGTTCCAGTGAAATGTTTTAGGAATTTTAAAAAATATGTCGAGAGTTGCACAGAGCACTTAGTTAAGAAAACATCCATCACATTTTTAACAAAAGAATGTCTTTTAATTCTCGATTTAGCGTTTCAAAATGTCATTGCATTCAGGCAAATACGGTAGCTGGCTATCAGTCAGGGTTTGACATGTGTCACTTTCGTAGGAACTTTGATCAAATTCCAGTCTTCCTGTTGATCCAGCTTCGGTACGCGGCCACTTCGGTGTACACTCCGGGATATCTTGGCTTTGCACAGCCGTACCCCCACGAAACCACCCCTATCTGCAGCCCCGACACCACCAGGGGCCCTCCAGAATCTCCCTGAAATGCATGGTCATGGATTTTTCTTTACTGCTCCTGACAGCCAACTTCGTCTCTGCAGTTGATACTGCGTCGTTAAATAAACTGAAGACCAAGTAACCGCGTGCTGAGTGTATGACAACTAAGCAGTATTTTAGCTACAGTCATTTTAAATTCGGTCAAATGGAAATTACAAATGCAAAATTTCTCATCGTGAAAGGGGCTCCTGTCGTCTGGTTTACCTCCGCCCACCGAGAGACACGTAGCGCTCACAGGAGCAATCAGAAATACATGCTCTGTGTTATATGGAGAACTCAAAGAAAAGGCACCACTTTGGAGACCAAGACCTAGATGGAAGATAACATCAACAGTAATCTTAAGGAAGCAGGGTGTGAGAGTGAAGGTGAACTAGGGTTTTGGAGCTACAAGCTCCAGTTTGTATTGAAATCAGTCTTTTTATCCGAAGTGTACAAAAGAACCTGAAGAAGACTAACACAAATTCGAACGTTTAACTCTAAAATATACTTTTGAACATATAAATTATACATTATACTTCGTGTGACGGAAAAAAGTGTCTCATCCTTGCAGATGGCTGAAACAAATGTACTGGCACCACAAAATTTTGGAGAATGTTAACACCAGCTAAGCGACCGTCAGCTTCAGGGAGCTTTATACCTGTTTCTTTCATTATTTAAAGATGCAGAGCTTAAACTAGCAGGATGCTGTCTGACCTGGCATGAGTCCTTGCCCCCCGTCTCCGGATAACCAGCGCATATCTGGTGATCGGGGAGGTCACCGTAAAGGCATCGACATCGGCTCGCACTCACAATGGGTAGCTGTAGTTTCTGCAGTATCCGCGACGTGGCGCCACCTTCCTGCGCAGACATTATACATCAAAATCCAATTAATTCCACCACCTCCAAACCCGTTAACTACAAAGACTGAAATACCCCCCCCCCCAAACAAAAAAAAACTCTCTAATTTTAGAAAATGGCTGCTTGTGGAATGTTGCTCCGTGTAGTCTGGTAGAAACTGCCAGACGTCCATCATCTCCTGATGATGGAAGAAGTTAGTACCTCCGAAACATCACCTCACCTGACAGACAATGTTGATAATTACGCGTTCCTGTCGTTGCCTTGGTCTTATCCGTTACTAAGGGTGGTGTGTAATTACGTGAGTTGCACCCCAGCCGGTGACAGTGGCCACGGCTCCCTCCGCGGTGCTTTGCCCCTGTCTCGGCAGCGCCACTGCCTTCTGTGTCGCTCCGAACATCAGCGGTGGAAATATCTGAAGGCCATGAACATTCGAGGACTGTAAGCGACACAGGCTGGCCAAAAGAAGGGCGGGAAGTTTGCTACACACGTATTTCCGTTCACACTTCACAGCCAGGATGTTTTTTCCCACCTCTGTTTAGTTTACAGTTCGCCATTTTGGAAAACAAACGTTTAAAGTCTTAAGGACTCATATTTTGTGTTATTTGCTAATCTTTTATATCCATTTAAGCTTTAGGGTACCCAAATAGATCCAACCCCATGCATCAAGATCCCTCAGAGGCTGACAAGTGTTTCGTTGCTGTGTTCTCAACACTCCGTCCCCCCAACCTTTTCCTGAGCCAGATTAACCCACTCAACAGCTGCACGCGTATTTATCTAACATTCCCTTTACTGTTCACTCGCTTCTACGCCTAGATCCATCAAACGGCGTCTTCCGTTCAGGTTTTCCACCTGACGTTACGTACGCGGATACACATTCTATGTCTTCTGTTCGTGCTACATAAACCGCCCATCGTGTCTTTCTAATTTTGACGTCAGTGATAAGGGCAAAACATGGACCTCCTCATCTCGCAGTTTTGTCCACATTCCTGTCCGTTCCCCCCTCTCAGGGCCAAATATTCTCCTCGACAGCCCGGGTGCCAGACAACGCAAGAGGATTACATGCAAAATAACAGACGTCTGCTGATGAGATATGAGATCTAGTGACTCGTCTTCAGGATCAAAACGCCCAGTTAGCTCGTGTGTAGACGCACGCACGTTTCGAAGGAACATATCTCCTCCTTCTTCAAGACCGAATACAAAAGTTTTGTGTTTCTGACATTGAGCGGACTCTTACCCTGAAGATTGCGATGTCATTGACAGGAGCGCCGTCCTTGTTCGTGTGATAATTCTCGTGCACTATCTTTCGTAGCACCACGTGGGGCAAACTCAGAGCCCGAAGGTCGTTGGCACCCGCGTGCACTGAGTACAGCAGCTGGGATTGCCTGAAGAAAACAGAGTGAGAGCTCTAGTCGCCTTTCGGGCAGTTCGGAAACGGGAGGTCCAATCAAACGTTCGCTGTTGGAACGTTTTCATACTTACTGGGAGCAATGAGCTGCGGTCAGGATGTACTGTCTGCTGAGGACAGATGCGCCACAGTAGTGGGCTCCAGCGACCCTAATCGAAACCTGCAGCAGACATTGTGTGTTGATCGTGTGTAACTGGTAACTAGTGGGAAGAGAGAAAGAGGCCTCTGTCTGTCTGCTGAGAGGTTGATGGGGGTCATTCGACCTCCAGAGACATGCACTCGATTACTTAACCAAAAACATTCAAATTAAATTTTCAGACTCAAACAAATATACCCAGAGGATTGTGAGTCACGTGTTTCAAACAACTGCTTTCAGTACAAAAATTACCTGGCAAATTTTGTGCCTGAAATGGTACAGCAGTTTTGGTTTTCGTTAAACAGGAAAGCTCTCCTTCACAGGATTCTGTTCGACGATGTCGGAGGTCAGGTCAGTCCTGCATTCCCTCTCGCACCCTAAAACTTATTTTTAAAAAAAGAAGTTTGCAAGCACTTATTGTTTCCCCGTGCGTTATGTAAGGTCGCACCTGGTACGGAACTTCCTCTATGGTGACATCCTCGCCGCCGATTATCCTCGGGTCCGAAAACTTCCCAGACGCAACTGAAAGAGATCGTTGACACGCACTTTACTGACACGCACGTTTTCTAACGCCGTTTACACGTAACGAAGTTGTTCTTACTTTAAGTGTTAATTTCTTTATACGTTCATTCCTGTGTGTATTTGTTTAGTTACTCAGTTATCTTATAAATTTATCTGCAGTGTTATTTATTACTTGTCTCATATTCTTTTAATTATCGTTTATTTATTAATGTATTTATTTATTTATCATTTACTCTCTTATCCTTATTCTGTATGTCGAACTTATTAATTTACTGTTTATTTTAACGTCAGTATACATAATTCAGGTACATTTAAATTAATATTTGTCTTCTATTGTCTATCTGTTTGTTTACGTATATATTTGTCTGATCACACATTAATTTTGGGCACATTATAAGGACGTCGCTCTTTCGTTGCTATAAAATGTACTTGGGACAGCGTCGTCAAATGAAGTACGGTAAAAACAATGGTAACAGTCACAGCCAGAGCAATGTTTCATAGACACACCCAGACCTCTCGTCACCCGTTGTTTTTTCAACAGAGGTTCTCTAACAGTACGAATAGTGCATTGCCATGGGAACAGAGACAATGTCTCTTCAATTGATAAGTAGCAATGCACATTGAAGTTCAAGACACACCCCTTATGAGGAAGGTTCCTGTTCTGTTGAACGTTCCGATCACTTCTCACAGAACAAATGAACTGTGATATTCTCACATAAAATTTTAAGGGTATTTTCTGGACTTATTTTTCCTCCGGAGGGGATGTCACTCGCGTGGATTCCAGGACACTCTTTTCCCCAACCTCGAAAAAGTGATCCTACTCAATGTAATGTTTAACTGCAACAAGATAATATTTTTCACTACCGAAATCTAGTGCTATTATGAAATGAATGGAGTTGTCTGTCAGTACGCTAACCGTGTGAGCTGTGTTCTTCTGCTGTCTGTGCGTCTCCAAGATTCCAATCGGAGGAGAGCCTACCTTGCAGAGCTGCCAGCAGCAGGCCCCAGACCGAAGTCTCCATGACGCGAGTGGACGTGCCTCTGGACCACGATTTGTTCCCTCTTCCGGTCGATTTATAGACAAGGAGGGGGGGGGGGGCGTTGCATCATCTCGTTTTGTGCGGCGAGGCCTCTGGAAACAATTTTACGGCTCCACCGGGTGTTTCGAAATTGACGGACATAATCACTTCCGGTGTCACGATTAACTGTGAGGCACAAGGTCCTTGAAAACTCAACAGTTCACAAGATACCCAAGAATTTCCTGATTTATTGACCCCAAAGGTTCATTACCGTGTTCACAAAAGCCACTGGTCCCTACCCCGAGCCAGATGAATCAAGACCACGTGTCGTATTCTTTAAGATTAATCTTCGTGTTTTTCTCCCGCCTCCATTGTAGTTTCCAAATCATCTCTTCCCTAAGGTTTAGTAACTAAAATATCGTATGAACTTCTCATCTAACCGTGCGTGCTACATGTCCTATCCGCCTTATCTTCCTTCATTAAGTCACCCTAATAATTCATTCGAGACCACAAATTATGTAGCTCCACGTTGTGAAATTTTCTCCAGCCTCTTGTCACTTCATCTCTCTCAGGTCCAAATATTCTCCTACACACAACATCCTCAGTCTGTGTTCTATGTGACTGGTGGTCCCAACTCAGAAGTTCGCAAGATACTGTTCGTGCTAGGTCATTAAAAAGCACTGCGGTAGAATTGTTTCCAGTGAAGTAATGTTTGTACCAAGTTCAGTCGATGACGTTCGAAACTTATTATTACGGGACACACACACACAGACCGGAAACAGCAGCAGCGGCGCGTATTCCAGTGGTTTATAATTCACGAACTTTAACACAGGTGTCACGGTTTACAGACCCCGTTTTGACATCAAACAAATGAAGACCGACGAGCCCCGCGCATGAGGTGTGCATTATCACAACAGGGAGCAATTAATCTTTCATTTGCAGGTGATTATTTCATATCAGCGCAAATGAATCATCGCCTCTTCTGGAACGGGAATATCCCCTTTTATACGTCTAATTCCACAGGACCTAAACTAATTGAAGGAATGGCTCATAAAAATAACTCAACTGGACTATCATTCCACAAAGCGATAGATCACATAAAGAAAAACACACAAACACTGAACCGAACTGATGGTCATGGCATCTCCTCCACATCAGACGTAACTGTTACATTGGCGGGACTCGATCTGCAACGCCTCGTTCGTGAGAAATGGATGCGTCATGTGACGGTGAGATTGACGTTCACATGTGCGGGGCTTCATATTTGCGAATCCTGAGGCGCCTGACACTTCTGCAATGTGCAGTGACCTGATCCTAAAATAATTCTGCTTATTCTTATAGCGTTTTTAATTCGGTTTGAATTATTTTTCACCAAACTGTGAAAAACGAAAAATAAGTGCCATGATTTTTTTTTGCCATTTCAGTGTGATCTCAACTTATTAAAAAACATCTGTAATAAGATCGGTCAAACCAGCGTGAAGTGACTGGGAACGTTCAATACAGCTCTCTTCTAAAAAAACCAGATAAACAACGATCACGTGACCTTCTGTTCAAATTAATTTCTTTATTTCTGTTGTTTATTCTATAAAATCGAGTATTTATTCGTTTATTGTAAAGAGTCGAACCGCGCAGAGAACCGGAAGGAGTTGCGGTAACCATGAAAACACGCACGCAACAAAGCAACGAACAGGAAGGCCCTAATGACTTGGTGACGAGCCTTTGAATTGTGCGTAATCAGCATATGTGACCTGATTCTGCCCTTTATGGAGCATATCTTCGGATAATAAAGTTGTATTATTTTAATTAAGTAAAGACTGACTCTTACCGCACATAACAATACCGGATGCAGCGGAGGCCACTCAGTCCTAACCTAAACCCCGCGGCCGGCTTTCATCACACGACCAGCATCCGCCGGACAGCTGGAACATTCGCTGCGAGAGTTCAGAATGAACACGACATGTGGACCAAAGAAAGTGTGCAAATGGTAGCTTCACAATGCCAAAGAGTGTAGTGTGAACTGGGCGGGGCATGTAGCATGGAAATGTGACGTCAGTAAGAAAATTCAAAGGAAAGAGACCCCTAGAAAAACCTGGTTTTAGATGGAGATGCGGTATTTTAATGCATCGAAGATGAAACGCGGTGTTTACGTGTGGGCTTACTCGACTGGCTCACAATGAAAGTGGTCGTCTCTTGAGGACACGGGTTTCATAGCGCATCACCAGACGCTGCATGCACTTAGTTTGTTTGTTCGTTCGTTACCCAGTCAGTGAGTTAATAAGTCAGTGGCCGACAATCCTTTCGTCTGGTTGACCCCGTTCTTCGTCAGTGCAGGATGCGCTTCGCCGCTGCTCAGGTGTTTCACGCCTGCACTGCGTTCTACCTGCTGACCATGGACGTACTTTACGCACTGAAGTTAATAGAAGTCCTCACCGTCCGAACAGATCTTCTGTGGGCCCACTACCGTGGACTGGGGCTCCAGTTCTTCACAGTCTGGAGTCAGGTGAGCTTCATTTCCGTGAATGCTTTTAAGTCCGTTCTTATTCTTCTTCTTCTCCTCCTAAATATTCTTTGTCTTTCAGATCGCGCAGCAGTCCTACTTCTTTCTGGCTCTCGGATATGACGTCATTGAACCACGAAACGATGCCATCATAAAACATCTGAAGAAGTACCTCCGCATTCTCAAGGCCGTTTGCTTCACGTCGGTGGTCGTCCCCACTGCAGTTGTAAGTAAGAGCATTTCTTCCAAATGGCTGACAGTTGCTCAGCTAGTCGTATTGTTTTGTCTATAATTAAACATTGTCTCCATGACACGGACGCCCACCTTTTTTTTCAGTGCAGGCGTACGCAAGAAAAGTTTTGTGTTCTGAAATAAGAACATGAAATCACTCCGCACTTCCATGTTGCGTGAGAATCATTCACAAAAGGTAACGCCATGTTCTTCAAGTTTCACGTGTCATTCGTTTAATAAACGCTGACGAAACTTCTGTTTCCATACAGACGGCGAAATGTCTCGGGTTAGGTTAGCTGAGCGACTGTCACTTTTTCAAGAAGGCCTCTTTGTCATGCAGCTCGTGACAGTCAACTTCTGGGTCCTTAACCTCCTGCTGGACCCAGCTCTCATAGAAGACACACAGGTGTTGCAGGACTACGTGCCCAGCTGGATGGACCACAGTTTGCACACCAGCGTGCTGCTCTTCACGTTGGCAGAACTGCTGCTCTCTCACAGGCCGTATCCCCGGTGGTCTACGCTGGGCAGGATGAGGTCTACGGTCGTCGTACTGGCTTACACGTCATGGTACGTTCTAACAGTTGGCAACAAATCCACGATTCCTCCACGCCAACCCTACGTACGGGTAGAGTGGCTGGCATTCAGTTTTCCGTGGTTTTTGTCAATTTTATTTTTATTTATTCTGACGACAGGTCCATATGAACAGGATCCTTCCATCCTTTTCTCGGACTGGGACCTGTTCATATACGTTCTTGGCAGATGATCCAGAAGTGGTTTGCCATTGCCTTCTTCTGTGTGTGAATGGAGTAATTGTTGGGATGCCACGGAGGAAAACTCCGTGTTGCCTAGACCACGGCCTTGCCCAACACAAGTTATAAATTCGAACCCGAGGACCCAGGATTACAAGGCCAGCGTTCTAACAGCTAGACCACCATGGCTATTTTTGTCAATACCCTTACATAAATAATGGAGTACTGACACCTTCCTTCTGTGCAGTTTCTAACGCGTAACCATCCTTGCAACACACGCAACATACGCAGTTGGAAAAGCGTCGTCGCATAGACAAAGAGCCAATTTCTACCAGAATACATGGGGCAACATCCCACAAGGTGTAGGTTATGATGTGGTGTGTTTTTGTAGGTCGTCGTCAACCCTGAAAATGGAAGCGAAACATTCCCCTGGGGCATCGGTTACTCCCCACAACACGCTTTCTAAACTTGCTAAACCTCGTTCACTGGGCAGGAAGGAGCTGTGGATAGATATATCTGTTCCTGACCTAACCTGACCTGATCCCCACACAGGGTAACACTCGCCGTGCTGCTCGGCAGTGCCTGGCCGTACCCATACATGCGTCTTATGAGCGTCACGCAGAGGCTCGGCTACGTCGTCGCCAACTGCGCTCTGGCCGTCTGGTCGTATCATTTGGGAGAGATGATCAACACTGCCTTCTGGGGTGAGTACGTCACAAAAGTGTCTCGGTTATTTCGCTTACGGATGCAAACAGCTGGCTTTTGTGTTCCAAATCTTGTCCATTGTACTGCCTGCACAATTGAATCCGACCAGTAGTGGCCAATTAGATTGGCCCCTCTGAGGCCGCAGCTCGTCAAAATAATATTCGAAAATCCCACCCACACCTCACCATTAAATAGATCAACTGGTTAATGCCTTTTGGGTGTTTATACTGAAAATCATGCAAGGCCTATAAATAAAAAGTGCCCGCTGCTGATTGTTAAAGCACTCCTCGGCCCTGAAGGGTTACACTGAACTGTGTTGTTTTATTAAGAAACGTTTCGTATCAGTGTCTCATTATTACTACAATGCAAATCAAGATTAATTTCTAAAAAAATATTCTGTTCGAGATGCTTTCGTGTCAACAGTTGCTACATTTTTTTCTCTCCCTATTTTGTAGGAAAAAAAGCACAGAATCGTGTAAAATAATTTTCACCTGAAGGAATGAATATTTTGCGACAAGGCGCCCACACGGAAACACCACCTACACGTTTCCGTCACATTCCTGTGGAATGTTTCGTTCTTGCCGAAAATAAGGACCTTCTGAGGTGGCATCCAACACGACATCTTAGGGCGGTATCGCACTAGGATGCCAACGGGAGGCCATGGCTCAGCTGCCAGCATCTCGGCCAAACTCAATGCATTAATTTAGTAGTCATATAACGCACCTGGCATCCGTCTGGCAGCGCTTCCAACTTGGCATCGCTGCCAACCACGATGCCAAGTTCAAATGCTACTGGCATCGCTGCCAAGGCGAAGGCCAAATCAACATCACATGACAGTCTGGCCAGTCCATTGACGTCCGTGCGTGAATGTGCTTGTGTGTATTTCTGTTTCTTCCAAACATGGATAATTTCGACACCGAAAGATTGATAATTGAAATTCAGTCCCGACCAT